GAGCGTTATAATTCTTATGTTGATTTTGTATATCATAACGAGAGACTATATCAGGCGTTTCTATGTAATCTCAGTTTTTGTTTGAGTGAATGAACTCTGATTTGTTGACAATATTGCTTCTTTTTGCTTTTCTTTATGAATGTTGTTATTAGTAAACATTCTTGCGAATAGATTTTTAGAAGTAGTGTTGTGCACTTGAGCTTTATTTTAAAGAAACACAGTTAACATATTACTGCGACAACAAAATTGTACAATTTTTATATATCACACTCTGGTTACAGTTCATATATATAGCTAAGAATTTCAGGTCATATACACATTAAATGATAACATTTAATGTATTACAAATAACAGTTATCAGATAATTGATTAACAGTTGAGGGAAGGTTTTCAAGACTCTTTGTTTGTTACGCTGCATGCAACAATGATGTATATGACCTGAAATTCATAACTATATATATGAATTGTAACAAGGGTGTGATATATAAATGTTGTACTAATTTTCTGTCACATTAATATGTTAACTGTGTTTCTTTAAAGTAAAATGTAAAATACAGTAGTTCTATATGATGCTCATGTGTGAACGTTCTCATTTAACATGTTAACTATAATACGTAGCATGTTAACCTTAATTGGTAGATTGATAACTATGTTTAGTAATCTGTTAACTATAATCCATTATATGTTAACTGTTATTTGTAATCTGTTAATTAACACACTTATCATGTTAACTATTAATCATTATCTGTTAACTATTATTTGTAAACTATCAACTATAATTAATTATTCGTTAACTGCTATTTATAAACTGTTAACTATAATCAATTATATGTTAAGTGTTATTTGTAATCTATTAACTATTATCATTTAACGTATATATGACCTGAAATTCTTAGCTATATATATGAACTGTAACCAGGGTGTGATATATAAATGTTGAGCAATTTTTGTTGTCGCATTAATATGCTAACTATGTTTCTTTAAAGTAAAATGTAAAATACAGCGGTTCTATATCACGCTTATGTGTGAACGTTCTCATTTAACATGTTAACTATAATACGTAGCATGTTAACCTTAATTGGTAAATTGATAAGTATATTTAGTAAACTATTAACTATAATCCATTATATGTTAACTGATATTTGTAATCTGTTAATTAACACACTTATCCTGTTAACTATTAATTATTACCTATTAACTGCTATTGGTAAACTATTAACTATAATCAATTATATGTTAATTGTTATTTGTAAACTGTTAACTATAATCAATTAGCTGTTAATTGTTATTTATAATCTATTAACTATTATCATTTAACGTGTATATGACCTGAAATTCTTAGCTATATTTATGAATTGTAACCAGAGTGTGATATATAAATGGTGTGCAAATTTGCTGTCGCATTAATATGTTAACTGTGTTTCTTTAAAGTAAAGCTCAAGTGCACAACACTACTTCTAAAATTCTATTCGCAATAATGTTTACTAATAACAATATTCATAAAGAAAAGCAAAAACAAACAATCTTGTCAACAAATCATAGTTCATTCGCTCAAAACAAAAACTGAGATTACAGAGAAACGTTTGATATAGAGTCACTTGTCATGATATACAAAATCAACACACGAATTATAACGCTCTCCTTCCATCCTCCTCCATGAGCTCTCACCGAGTCTGCAGAGGAACATATCACCAACGTTAGGAAAATGAGCTGCAAAAAGATCGAATCCGAAAAGGTTAGCTTTTGTGAGCCAATAATCCCCCCGCTCGGCCAAAGGCAGCTGTGGGAGACAGATAGAGGAGTGCGTTAGAGGATTAATCAAAGCTAGGGTTTTGATGCCTTGGGGAGTGAGAAGCCAGTCGCTAGAGTCGGGGCAGTGTATGCTGTTGGCACGGTCGTAGCGAGCTTCAGGGAGAGGGAGATTGTAGGTTTGGTTGGCGAGGTTGAAGAAGAGGCGGTGGGTGGTGATTTGTTCATCGGCGGGGAGAAGAAGCCATGGGAATTGAGGGGGGGTGTTGGAGAATGAAGAATGGTTTGGCGGCGGATCGCCACTGGACGCATACGGAGCTAAAGCAGATGAGGTCGGGGATTTGAGTGATGCGGGCGACGATCTGATCGAGAAGCTCCAGAGGAAGGTGGGCCCAATCACTTCGTTTGAGGGTCGCCATGGGAGAGAGACTAAAAATGGGGATGGTGAATTAGGGCTTTTGGGGGTTTTACGACGATTAATGGAGGGAAATCTCGAGGGATCGGGTGCTGGATTTCATACGCGATTAATGGCGGGGGTTTTACGGTGATTAATGGCGGGGGAGGAGTGATTGCAGCAGGAGGAGAAGGACGTGAGATTGCTAGGGTTGAGGGCGTGTGGATTTTGAGATGATGACAGAGGAAGAAGAAGTGGACATTTTGATGGAGAAGAGATGATAGTGATTTTGGGGAGGGGTACAACAAACTGAGATTTTCATAGAAACGCACTGATAGATCTCTCGTTCATGAAAGCTCTATATACAAAATCAACATAAGATTATAACGCTCTCCTTCTATCCTCCTCCATGAGCTCTCACCTGAGCCTGCAGAGGAACATATCACCAACGTTAGGAAAATGAGCTGCAAAAAGACGCGGATCCAAAAAGCTTAGGCTTTTGTGAGCTAATAAGGCCCCCCCCCGGTCAGCCAAAGACAGCGCGTGGGAGAGAGATCGAGGGCGCATAAGAGGATTAAGCAAAGCTAGGGTTTTGGACTGCCTTAGGGAGTGGGGGAGCCAACCGCTGGAGCCGCGGGCCAAGTGTATGCTGTTGGACAGGTCGTAGCGAGCTTAAGGGAGAGAGAGAGAGAGAGATTGCGCGTTTGGTTGTCGGAGAGGTTGAGAAGAGGCGGTGGGTGGTGATTTGCTCATCGTCAGGAGAAGAAGCCATGAGATTTGGGGGCGGCGGGGTGGAGACTAGAGAAATGTTTGGCGGTGGATTGCCACTCGGACGCATACGGAGCTAAGCAGATGAGGTCGGGATGAGGTGATGCGGGCGACGATCTGATCGAGAAGCTCCACAGAGGAAGGTGGGCCCAATCACTTCGTTTGAGGGTCGCCATGGGAGAGAGACTAAAAATCGGGGATGGTGAATTAGGGCTTTGGGGTTTTACGACGATTAATGGAGGAAATCTCGAGGGATCGGAGCTGCGGATTTCATACGCGATTAATGGCGGGTGTTTTACGGTGATTAATGGCGGGGAGGAGTGAGTTGCAGCAGGAGGAGAAGGACGTGGAGATTGCTAGGGTTGAGGGCGTGTGGATTTTGAGATGATGACAGAGGAAGAAGAAGTGGACATTTGATGGAGAAGAGATGATAGTGATTTTGGGGAGGGGTAAAGTTGGGTTTTTAGGTACAGATGAGCTGGAAGGGCTTGAGAGCAACGGCTTAGGGCGCATTTGGTTGCGGGTTTTGGAGGGGATTTTGAGCCCGAAAGCCTGTCACAGTGTGCCATCTGTGGCAGCTTTCGAGCAAAATCACCTTTCTAGAGGAGATTGTTCGCGAAGAGCTCCCATTCAGATGGGACATTGTGGTAGGCTTTCGGACTCAAAATAGCCCACCCAAACGCGCCCTTAAGGGCCTGTTTGGTTATTTCCTAAAAAACTAAGAAATAGAAATGAAAACCAAGAAAATTCAAAAAGTACAATTTCATCCATTTCCATCCCTAAAACCCACTCACAACATCTAATAAAATATTATTTTTATCCAACAACTCATCAACCACATCTAATAAAATATTATTTTCATCCAACAACTCATCCACCACATCCATCACATCTAATAAAATATTATTTATATCCAACAACTCATCCATCATATCTAATAAAATATTATTTTCATCCACAACATCACTCAACTCATCTCATCTCATCATTTCAAATCACTCACATCATCCAATAATATGGTGACAACTCATCTCATCTCATTAACATTTCATTTTTAACCATTTCCTCCCAAAAAGCTAGGAAAACAATTTCCTTAAGTATGAGTCACATCATCCAGTAATATAATGACAACTCATCTCATCTCATCTATTTTCTTATTTTTAAGAATGAACGAAACAAAAGAAAACAACATATTACAAGAAATATGTTTCTTATAATTTATTTCCTTATTTTTTTCGCCAACCAAACAACATCAAAATAAGTTTTCTTAAAAAATCACTCACATCATTCTATAATAAGGTGACAACTCATCTCCATTCCTTTGATTTTCTTCTTTTTTTAGCAAACCAAACGCTCCCAAAACAATTCTTATTAGAAATAATTTTTCATTTCTTTGATTTCCCACTTTTTTTAGGCAAACAAACAGTCTCTAAGGGGGGGTTAGTCACCTAGAACTTAAAATTAGAACTGTGATAATCAGTGGGATAAAATTTTAAGGTGTTAGTCACATAGAACCAAATCTAGAACAAAATTTTAAGGTGTTAGTCACATAGAACTAAAACTAGAATAAAATTTTACAGTGTTAGTCAAGCAAAACTTTAACAAAACTAGAATTGGGATAATTGTACAAAATTATTCCACTTTTTTTATTTTTCTATACAAAAATGAGAGTTCTAGTCTCTCAAATTATTCCAAGTTTTAGCTTGGAACTATGTGGTAAAAAACTAGAACTCGTATTTATTTTATTATTTTTTATTTTTTTCTTTACTTATTTCCTATTACGGTTATCACCATCATTAGACCATCATCATAATAATAATTGTCAATATCTTATAGTCTAACCAAAAGTTATTTAATAGTAACGAACATTTTTGTAAGCAATTATCAATTAATAGTAGTAAGTTTAAAATACATAAATAGTATTTATATCTTCAAAATGCATAAATATATACTTCATGATTATAAAAATTTATCACACGTTATTTTATCAAAATATCCCGCTTCACAAAATTGTTCCTAGTTATCCCACTAAAATATCCCACTAGCAAAATATTATTCCACTTTAACAATTATCCTATTTTGCAAAAAAAAAAGCATTGTGAGAGAAACGCTCTCCCTCTCCTTCGCGTCTGCTCGCACTGCTCCACCCCCAAAAACCCTAAGCGACGGCGCCTCCGCTTTCCCATCGGAACCCTAAATCCTCAGCAGCGGTTCCCCCGCTTCTCGCCTCCGAGCCAGCCTGAATCCGTGCTGCTTCCCGTTATTAGAAACAACTTCATCCCTCAACCGGCGAAAAACCGTTACAGTCTCAGTTTTAGGGTTTTCCCCCACCGTATCTACTGCATCCGATATGGCCGATTCCAAACCAGAAAGCGTGCCGGTGCTGCCGTGGATGAGAGACCCGGTTCATATCGACGAGGTCGACACGTGCCCTCTCCATCTCCTTCCCGGCCTTGATCGCAGGTATTATTCAATTCAACTCAATTCAATTCATCCAAGTTTTTTCGTCAGTAGAGTCTTCACTACTTCAATCAAATTGCTTACCCAATCGAGGATTTTTTAGTATGTAAATGTTCTCGTTCTCGCAATTTTTCCTATGTTTTAAATTAACGCAGCAAAGTTAACCATCTGAAGCCGAAACCTCAGCATCTGAAAAACCCTAGAACGCCTAAACAGGAATAACTAACTGGGTTGGGCCAAACATAAAGCCTGATAACAAAAATAATAAAATTTATGAGCCCGATAACAGGAAGAGCCCCGAAACAGCTCGAGTCAAAGGAGTTTGGTCCTCGCAAACAATCTCAAATGGAGTTTGAACTTCCCTCTATCTTTTTTAAGATTCTTAACAGGGTAAGCTAGATAGAAATCAGTGTTTTTCAAGACTTCGATTAATTTCACAAGTTTTTTATTTGGAATTGTTGTACATGTGTGCAATTTGTCAATGTGAAATCTCGGTACTTGATTATATATAGATATATATATATTATATATATATGATATAATAATATATATATATTATATATATTATATATATATAGATATATATATAGATATATATATATATATATATATATATTATAGATAGAGAATATGGGTATACTTGGCCTAAGGATGCCTTGGTAGTATATGGACAGCATCTTGTCGCAATGACATGCACACCTTGAAGTTGGTGAGGCTCGCATCTTCATAGGTGTGATGTATGGTACAAAGACTGTGTCCACATCGACGTCACAGGATCCTTGGTACCAAGTAAATACCATTTTGTCTCCAATAAATATAATATAGTATATATATATAATATATAAGTAACTAATATATATATATATATATAATATTATATATATATGATATATAATATATATATATATAGTACAACTGTTTTTATAAAAATGTACTTTTCATAACTTTATGTTGTGTTTTGTATAAGTTTGGTTGGAGGAAGACCTCCATTGCCTGGTTATATTGGAAAAAAATGTTGTGTGTGGATACAAGATAGAGTTATCTCCATCTTAGGTGCTTCCTCTTTAGAGTTAAGGACAATTTAATCTGACTGGAATTTTCTAAATTGCAGTTAAAATCTGCCTTTAAGAGGTAGCTAGTTACAATTTATTTAGCTTGGATTCGTAGAACAACATATCTTAGGTTGAAAGTTTTTGAGTTAAGAGGCTTAAATACATTAAATTGTAGTTAATAAAAATTAAGTTCAATGCAAAACAAGCCCAAAATAGTTTACATTATATGAAATTAAGTTGTTCCTTTAAGTGTTCTAGAATAACAGATTCATGCAGTGCACATTAAATAATAAATATAATTAACATGCGTGCGCGCACACACTTACTCACAAGTCACATTGTTGCCCTATGTGCAATGTAGTTGAATTTGAAATTCTTTGAATTATCTATATCTGCGATCATTAGCTTGTTCTTTCTGTATCACACATCCTTATTAGTCTACTATAAGTTTACAAATATTTAATATTGGGCTTGTGATTGTGCAAGAGGTGGGCAATTGTTCATGAGAATTATGAGCGTAGGTATATTTTCTCGCAAAAACAAAATCACTTATTATATCTGAGGAGAGACTTATTATATATGTTCATATGTGTGGTTACTTCCAGATTGGAGGCAGCATTAAAGCTTATGGGTATCCAGTCACTTTTCCGAGTGCAAGTAGCAGTATGGCAAGAAATTATGGGGTTTGGTGCCTTTGAGCGAGATATTTGTGTTAATTCTCCAACAGGAAGCGGCAAGACATTGGCTTATGCACTCCCGATAGTTCAGTTGCTTTCAACTCGGAAAATAAAATGTTTAAGGGCGTTAGTTGTTGTGCCCACTCGGGATCTAGCATTGCAGGTTCGTGATGATGTCTTATTTGTAGCAACTTTAAATCATCTTAAGCTTCACATTTTGTTTCCTTTTTGTTCCACTAGATGAAATTCAAAATGCTTGCTAAGGCATTTTTATTCAGAGCTATGTAAACATTTAAGAATTTTGTTTTGACATAACTGATCCACGTTTTTAGTTATGCTATAGTTTCATTTCATGGCCTGATCGACAAAAATACTTATATGGTGATGTAGATGACTAGATGCATTTCCAGAATGATAAATGTCCAAAAACTTGAAGCAGGCATATGCTTATTCTATGAGTAACAACTTACTATAAAGCACTGCAAATTATTTAAATATTTGATATACTTGTATTCTACATGTTTTCTCCATGTAAATCCCTGGATGCAGTTACTTTGGTTAGTGCATATATTTAATTCCGATTATAACATCATGAAAATGCATCAAGCCTATTATTTTTTGTTTCTGTGGTGGTACATTTTATCAAAAGTTTCATTTTCATCTCTTTTTGACATCTAATCCAGTGATTGTTCTTGTTTTCTTTGTCGCAGGTCAAAGAAGTATTTACTGCTATTGCTCCTGCTGTGGGCTTGCATGTTGGTTTAGCTATTGGTCAATCATCAATTGCAGATGAAATATTACAGCTCATTAAGAGGCCTAAGCTTGGGATGACTTCACCTTTTGATCCAGAAGACTTACCCATGGAGCTAGAAAGTGCTGTGGACATATTGGTGGCAACTCCAGGAAGGCTGATGGATCATATTAATACTACAAAAGGGTTTAGTCTGAAACATTTATGTTATCTGGTAAGAATCTTGTATATTCTCTTTGGTTTTTTTTTTCATTTACTCAACATATAAAAGCCTTCACGAGCCTTCTGTATTAGTACCTTGAGGTTCAAGTTGTTGCTTAAAGTTCTATAGAATTCTCATTGTAGATATCATAACTTAAAATTTTCTAATCTAGGAAGGCAATTGTGCTTATAAATAATAGCAAAAATATTAGGTTGGAGGTGGCAAGAATATTAGCTTCAGAAGGGTTCCTACATGACCCAGTTTTAGATTCATTATAGATTCGTAGGATGCATCTTGGACTGATCCTCAAATGGGATCTAGTTATTTGGTAAGTTCAACTAGAACTGGGATAATTGTTGAAATGAGTTTTTATAAAGCAGGATATCTCAGGTGAATAGTGGGGGGTAAATTTCTAAAAGTTGGGCATCTTGGTAAAATGATGTGATATAATTTCAGATTAGAATGATAGTTTATGTATTTTGATGATGTAATATCATAATTTATATACTTTAAACTTACTATTATTTGTTAATATTATTTCATATAATGCTAATAAATTCTTTTCTAATATTAGTTAGACTAAGACAATGTTGTTAATAATAATTCTTATTGTAATGATTTGGTATCCACCATATTACCTGGGTACTTCTATCTTGATACTGTACCTGTACCCGACACGTACCCATCTCCATACACAAATTCATTGGACACTCCTTCCATATATGCATACATTTATGACATTTATTCAGGCATGTACTCATTTATACAATACATTTTTAATTTAGAACACTTGTCAAACTTTTCCTGGACGTAAATGCTACACTTCACATCCACTTCTTGAAACTCTTTGGTTTTCAAACTGTGATTTCATTGGTTGTTTGGGTGTCTAGTTCAAAAAACAAGTGTTTTGCAATTTATAATCATCATAATAAAAGAAAATAAAAATGTTATAGGAATTTTAATTCTCATAACCCGTGAAAAAAATATTGATATCATATAGTCTATTAATTTCATTATTTAATATATGTGTATATAAATATTTATATAGCTAGGTCCCCGTACCTTACCTTTTACAGATTTTCCATGTCCCGTACCTGTACCCATACACATGCAACATAGCTTATCTATAAATGTAGATTATGAATTGATGTATGTGTGAAAGGAATTAGTTTAAGAGATAATTTTGAAACATAAAGCAATAAAACAACATTCTTGATCCCAATCAACTGCTTCATTTATTTTTTTTGGGGGAATTTGTAGGTTGTTGATGAAACTGACCGATTGCTAAGAGAGTCATATCAGTCTTGGTTGCAGACTGTTCTTGAGATTCGTCATTCAAATGATGAAGCACTATCTACTCGTGCAATTACCTCTCCATCTATGTTATGCTCCCTGAATACTAGGAGAATATGGTAAATCTAATATTTGCCCCATTTATATTTGGTTCCGTGAGTATCATAAGGATATATTAAAGTGTAAAGTCTGTGTTCTTTTTCTTGTAATCAACTTTGTTCTAAATAGGAACTTGGACCTGAAAGCGGATGATTAAAAGAGTTTCTGTTCGGGATGCATTTTTTTAATAATTTTTACTAAAATGTTCTAATTATTTTTGACGTAAGTTTCTTTCTATGCAGTGGTATTGATAGGGGCTTCAAAGATAAACCTTATCCGAGGCTTGCAAAAATAATTCTATCAGCTACTCTGACTCGAGATCCCAGCAAGCTTTCTCAATTTAATTTGCACCACCCTTTGTTGCTGAAGAGTGGGCATAAGCGCTATCAGTTACCTGAAAATCTTAAATCACATATCCTGGTTTGTCATGTCAACTTCTTGCTGTTGTACTTCAGATAATAACTTTTGATGAATTAAATCAATTTTACACTCTTTAAACAGTTTTTTCATGTTTTATAACATGGAAATTAAAAAAAAGGAAAATACACCTCAGTAGGCATATATAACAGACAGTTAACTGCCAAATTACTAAATCTGCAGATCAGTTGCAACAGCATGTTGGGCATTTTAAGAATAAGAAAATTTCCCATGCTGAGTATTATTGTTTTTTTGCAGATTTGCAAAACGAGTATGAAGGCATTGTATTTGGTTTCTCTTCTAGAAGCTCTTAGAGGGGAGAAGTGCATAATCTTCACATCCTCTGTTGAGTCAACTAACAGGCTCAACACCTTACTAAAGCAGTTTGGAGATTTACCATTTAAGTTCAGCGAGTTTTCAAGTCGACAACCCCAGTGGTCTCGAAAGTAAGTTAAAAATCTAGGTTAAATCAAAACATGCCTCATAGTTGGTAGAACTCTTGTTAAGCTATCCATGTTTATATCTCCATTTCACAAGTTCTTAATGATTGGTAAAATCTTGTTCAACAATACTTGTTTTTAACTCTATTTAACACATGTTTGACCATATTTCAAATAGAACATATTTCATTGAAAGCATCATCATTGGTGAGAAAGGTGAAATATGTATCTCATTAAGAGGCATGACTGTACTCATGGAGAACTTTTCTCTGGCCAAAATCCAAGTGAATCTTGATGTTTATTAATTTTATTTGATCCATAGAAGATATCAAATGGGTCAACTAATGAAAGCTTAGTGGAGAACTTTTTTCTGGCCAAAATCCAAGCTAATCTTGATATTTAATAATTTTATTTGATCCATAGAAGATATAAAATGGGTCAACTGATGAAAGCTTAGAACGTCATTGAGCTTTTACCTTTGCAAATGTTTTAAGTCCCTTCCACTATGCCAAAACTGCATACTTAAGGTGAGGTTTGAACGTTATAATTTGCTATTCTAGATAACCCTGCAAGTTGAACACCCTTTTCATGAGCTGAAACCTGGAGTATTTTGTGCAACACTAAGTTCTTCTAAAATCCTTGTTAAACATATGTCTGGTTTAATCCTGGATTGCTCGATGCTATCTAAAACTCCCTTCCATTATATCAAAACTCTCAAGTTATGGTGAGGGCTGGTTGTATTTGGCAGTTGTAATTCATACATTTTGAAGTACTTTGTCAATTATTTGTTAAACTGGATGACTGAATCTAATGTAACAAATGGATGGGAATCTGAGCTAGGAGATGGTTATAAGATATATAAAGTCCACTTTTACATGTAAACTATGTAAGGGCTAAACTGAAAATAAAACCAAAATGCGCAGCGACCAAACCACAAACTTAAATAGAAGTCTAACAAAAAAATAAGTCTCCTCACACCAAGGTTCGCTATAATACGTCCTCATTTAAACCGTCAAGGATGGTAAACAATTTAATTTGTATCGTTAACGTTAAGAGGCAGTAAATAAGAGTGGTGCAGAAGAAATTTAAATTGATATTTTTTAACCTTCTTTAAAGATCATTTTGAGAAAATAAACGAGTGTCACAAATGACCTGGATCGTTACGATTGCATACTCTAAACTTTGTAGACCTTTGTTTTGATGATAAATTTCCTTGTGTTAAGATACGGTCATTATATGAATCGACCTTGTTACTTAACCACTATTGTCTTAATATTCTGATTGTGATTTGTGTAAATAATAAACTAATTGACCAAACATTGGTCCCCAAATATTATCTGGTTGGAAACTTATCCTACGTAGTCTTTAATAAAGAACATCCATTAAAAACCTTCTTTTGATAGCTTTCCTTCTGGATTATTATTCAGGTATTTCTGAAAGATATGCTAGTGCCATGAACTTCCATCGACCTAAGGTTATTCTGTCAAATGATCTGTACTATATTTTCTGAATGTGTTTGATGAGGTCAGTGTCGAATTACTCTGCAGACTACAGTCAACTCATGGAAGTATGTATAAAGGCATGCGTGCACACAATTAGAAAATATCTTCTCATCAATTCATTTAATAGTTGAACCATCTATGTGTATATGGATATTGGCAACACGTACAAGAAAGGGATTAGCAATGGGTGGGTAAATGTTTGTTGAACAACGTAAATTCTATCTATATGCAGTTAAGCTATCTGTAACTATTTTCTTAACCCAAAGATTATGATTTATGCAAGCTGTTAAATTCATGCACAAATTCCATGTTGCAGGAAAACGCTGAAGGCCTTTAGGGAAGGAAAAGTTGATGTGCTTGTCGCTACAGATGCATTTGCACGAGGAATGGATGTTATAGGAGTAAGAAATGTAATCAATTATGATATGCCATCTTATACTAAGACATATGTGCACCGTGCTGGACGCACTGCAAGGGCAGACCAAACTGGGTGCTGCTTTACTCTTATGAGCAAAAGTCAGGTAATGAAATATATTTACGTGGACTTCTGACTAGACTACTGTCTTTTAAGATGCAGTGGTAAGTTTTCTCATCATGATTGCTACCAATAGAGTATTGGGAATCAGTTGAAGAAATCTGTAGGTATAAATGCAGTTAAGCTAGCAAATAAATTATTTTGCATCAAGAGTTTACTCAATGGCATCTCCAGCATGTGAACATTCATAGAGCTGTCACAATTCTTTAAGTAATAATTTTGCTTTTATGATGGATGCTTTGTGACATTATAATACTCGTCATTAAATTATGTGAGAATACTGCAATATTCTTGTAGTATTAATTATTTTCTAAGGTAATAGTTCATTACTTCGTTAAATGATACATATAGAGTCATGCAATTGAAGCTTTATGCCTTTCCTATTTTTTGACACGTTTTCAGATCCAATGGAAAATTATCTAGTAGGTTGGCATTGCTAAGATCAACTCTTTGCTGCGCGTTCATTCTTATGACTGTTCCGCCCACACAATCACAAATATTGCAAACTTGTCACTAGCTTTTCCTAGTTGATTTTAATCCTATAGTATGTTAACAGTTAACAGTATACATCTATTTGGTGGTTAATCTGATAAATGTGATATGCTTCTATGAGAGCTACCATAGTAGATCTGTACCAAATGTGATTGGGCTAGAATCCGATCAGGCCACATCTAGATTTGCTCATTTCTGGTGGTCTACATCTAGACATGACTGCATCATGCAAAATGTTTGTCTGGGGAGGTAGCCTAAAACTACTCAGGGGAAGGTGTCATGATGACGAAGTGAATAATTCAGTAGTACCAATAATCCCATATTGGATATGATAGTAAGGTTTTTGGTATATATTAGTAGCTGAGAAAAGAAAAACTTTAGCTAGCATTTTCTTAGGGAGAAAGCATGTCAAAACCTCCACCATTAAAAATGCTCAGTCGAGAGCAGTACTAGGAGGGGTTACATCTCCTGCTTGCGTCCCTGTAATATGTTAAAACTGAGAAATCTTATGAAGTATGTGCTGTATAACATACTTTCACAGTACAGCACATACTTTCACAGGCAGAATTGCAATTTAAAACTGAGAAATCTTATGAAGTATGTGCTGTATAACATTCTTTCACAGGCAGATTGCAATTTAATTCTGCAAGAAATTTGTTTATGCAAACTCATGTGGCAACATTTCATCTTTTTGTTTAGTTTTCTTTAATCTTTCTTGTACTTCTTATACAGGTCAAAAGTTTTGAAAACATGCTCCAAAAGGCTGATAACAACTCCTATAGCACTTATTCTCTACCTGCGGAGTCATTAGAACGCCGTCATTCCAGTTATCTTTCAGGTGCGTTAATAAATGTTTGAATACTCAATTGCTATGCTGTTAGTTTGTCATGGCTATGATGGAAAAGAAGGTTCGTTTTGTTTTCTAGTTTAGTAATGGCGGGCTCGTAACCATCTTTATTGTTCACCTTATTTGACTTTATTTGAAAATATAACAGCACTAGAGAAGCTGAAAAAGCACGTGGAATTTAGAAGCAAGAAGAAAATGCAGAGTTAGGCTATGGTATCAGAGTTTGAGCTGAATGGGAAGATTGTTTGCCATTGCATACTTCTGGCGCTTCCACTATTTTATCCGGTAAGTGACAATGTTTTCTGCACATAACAGGACTTATTTCTGTTCTTTTGTTTATTTATTTGTCAACTTGTTTTGAATGCATCAATAGTTCCTTGAGCGATCTTTAGTTGTTCTTGGCTCTAAAATAGTAAAGAGAATTAAGGCTACTCAGGAGTTACAACTAGGTGAAGACATGATGTTTTGCTCCCTGAGTAGAAAGAATTTTAGATTCTTACCTTGCTGGGCTAAAGATTAGGTATCAATTATTATGCATTTTTGTGTAAGAGTGGCACATAAATCCTCCCCTGAGTTACAAGCCATTGGCCCTGGAGAGTGCAGTTTTTCGAACTCGGTCTTGCCATTGGTGGCCAACTGAATATTTTTGATCCCTGGTCTCCGATCTTGTCATATATGTACTGCCATTCATTTAATATGACCTTTAGTATCTTGCCGGCTAAATAGAGGATTTGATAATTATTACGATTTGGTTTTAGAACATCATAATTTCTTTGATTATAGCATTTTATGTCTTAATTTAAGAAGAGGGGCTTGCTTTGACATTGGATACTTTTATTTGGTTGGAATTGATTGTCGGTCAAAATACTAAAGCTCATAGGGAAGGCCACACAGAAGACCATGTCTTTTTCTTTGTGTACGACAATTCTGGGATTAGCAAATGTAAATCATCTTCTTATTTGAAGTACAAAAACACGTCACAGGTGATAGATCGTGGAAAAACGGAAAGAGAGTAGATCACACATGAATTACATAATTGGGAAATGTTGTAGATCACACATGAATTACATAATTGGGAAATGTTTTATGTTGATGCAACTCGAGATTTCTCTCAAATCTCTATAAGCTGATGCTTCCACAGTAGATGATGCTAAACTTTCTCGCTACTTGCTTTGATGCGATTGCTTTATATGGTCTAGATGGGAGATGTTGCTAATTTATACTCTTATTAATAAATGCACAGATTCATCACTGCGATGAATCTTAAACTACTGTTCTGCAACTCTTGATTCCTATTATCGAAACATTTCTCGTCCTTGCCAAGAAACTCAAACCTAGTCGTTCAGATGTTTTCTTTTCGCAAATTGAGGACCCTCAGTACCATGATCTGGTAACTGAGCTACTCATGATATTGCTTACGTAGCATGATCTGTATGTTCTTTTGTAATATTTGGACAATTCATTAAGTAGGATTAAGACCTGTTGTCATGTTAAATCCTCCGTTCGTAAGCTCTCTGTACTCTTCGCATAGGGCACGGCGCTCAGAGTGGCGATGGAAGAGGCAGTTGTTGCAGGGGAATTCTCTCAAGTTGCACCGAGCTCTTATCTTTGATCGGTAAGCGCACGAATCCAGCAACTCATACAGCGATCTGCTAGTTCAGTATGCTACATCAAACAGGCTCTAGATCAATGATGAGGAAACTAATTATTTATGTTTGAATATTAACTTTATTCTTCTTTTGGCATAAATTTTTTTTTCACATGTATTTTTTCAGTTACGGGATGTTTTAATAGCGGAGTGAGTAGTCTTAAAATGGGAGGAGAGGTAGATCCCTTGTCCACAATCTCCGCAATGAGCTTAACATTAGTGGCCCCATATCAGAATGTTCTTTTAGGCGATATTTTTAGTGGAAAGACATAAGTCATGATAAGTAAGAAAACGTGCTGAGTATTTCACAACACCCATTTACTGAATTAATCATGTGTAATAATATGCAACGAAACCATAGTTCTCCATTAATAAGATTGTAATCTTTTGTATGTGTTCCCATATTGTTTACCTAAGGCAAAAGTTCAATGAAAAGTCCCTCAAGTATTGACCAAATATCGTTAGGTTTTTTAATTTTGGAATTCATCAGTCGAAGTCTTTAATTTTACTTTTGTCATTAATCTAGTTCTTTTTTAAAATTCTCTGTAAAATTTGCTGACGTGTCAGTGACTTGGCATAAAATTTATAATTTTACTATTTTTTGCTGATTGAATGTTCTCCTTTCTCTTTTTGCTGATCAATTTGGGAGAAGGTAAAGAGATGATTTTTTGTCTGGTCAGCAAGCAAAGACGGAGTGATTCCAGTTAAAAAAATTTTAGTAAAATTACAAGTTTATTTTGCCATGTCACTGATAGCGGAGGTAACAATAGGCTATGAAGCACGGACACGCATAACATGACGCCGTGTCGTGTCGTGTCCGTGTCGGACACACGTGTCGAACACACGTATCCTATGTATTTTTTATGATTTGCCTCGTGTCGGCGTGTCAGATGGCGGTGTCGGATCCGTGTCCGTGCTACATAGACAATAGGGACTCCTGCTGATGAGTTAACTCAAATAACTCAAATGATATTTGTCCAATACAAAGGAAAATCCCTTGAAGTTTTGTCTTTACCTAATAATAACTGTTCTTTTCCTACGACTAGAGCATTTGTATGATGGTAGCATTTTCACAATTATAATTGTTTGAAAATGATCGATTGTTTGTAAAATTGTCTTGGGGTCAATTTGATTGTGACATGTTTATAAATGAGCTTAACATTAGTGGCCCCATATCAGAATGTTCTTTTAGGCGATATTTTTAGTGGAAAGACATAAGTCATGATAAGTAAGAAAACGTGCTGAGTATTTCACAACACCCATTTACTGAATTAATCATGTGTAATAATATGCAACGAAACCATAGTTCTCCATTAATAAGATTGTAATCTTTTGTATGTGTTCCCATATTGTTTACCTAAGGCAAAAGTTCAATGAAAAGTCCCTCAAGTATTGACCAAATATCGTTAGGTTTTTTAATTTTGGAATTCATCAGTCGAAGTCTTTAATTTTACTTTTGTCATTAATCTAGTTCTTTTTTAAAATTCTCTGTAAAATTTGCTGACGTGTCAGTGACTTGGCATAAAATTTATAATTTTACTATTTTTTGCTGATTGAATGTTCTCCTTTCTCTTTTTGCTGATCAATTTGGGAGAAGGTAAAGAGATGATTTTTTGTCTGGTCAGCAAGCAAAGACGGAGTGATTCCAGTTAAAAAAATTTTAGTAAAATTACAAGTTTATTTTGCCATGTCACTGATAGCGGAGGTAACAATAGGCTATGAAGCACGGACACGCATAACATGACGCCGTGTCGTGTCGTGTCCGTGTCGGACACACGTGTCGAACACACGTATCCTATGTATTTTTTATGATTTGCCTCGTGTCGGCGTGTCAGATGGCGGTGTCGGATCCGTGTCCGTGCTACATAGACAATAGGGACTCCTGCTGATGAGTTAACTCAAATAACTCAAATGATATTTGTCCAATACAAAGGAAAATCCCTTGAAGTTTTGTCTTTACCTAATAATAACTGTTCTTTTCCTACGACTAGAGCATTTGTATGATGGTAGCATTTTCACAATTATAATTGTTTGAAAATGATCGATTGTTTGTAAAATTGTCTTGGGGTCAATTTGATTGTGACATGTTTATACAGAAAAAAGCGATGTAGTCACAAGATTAATGATTAGGATAATAGGAATGTCCTTTATAAATTCTATTTATTAATGGACTTGTTTATTTCTGTTAAATCTAGCTAAAAAAACGTATAAACTAGCTCGACTCAAATCTCACTTAAAAATTATAAAACAGAGGCGTGAGTGCTTATATCATGCATATGCACGTTGAAATTATATTCCACACTTGATGGCGCGTTAGTTTCTTTCTCCTTTTCCCCTTTCTTTTCCTTTTTTGTGGAAATTTGTGTGTGCTATAGAGATCTGAACTTAGAAAATGTAAAAAGTTGCATCCCGAACATAAAACATTACGAAAGACGGTGAAAGATTTGCCAAACATCTTTTTTATCTGAATTGGGTGGACTATAATTTTTGCAAGACAGTAACATTTTATATGCTATCTATCTACATACACCTAATGCCTCATTCAGTACGCGGGAATAGAGTCAAATGTGAATAGAATGAAGCTAGAAATGTAATAGAATTAATGTTGGGAATGAAATGCTCTTTTTTATTCTCATGTCTGGTTACGATTAGAGAATCAAGTGAGAATATCTTTAAGAAGGGTATATCTAGAATTTATTTGATTATTTTTATTCTTACTTAAGTAGGAATATTAATTCCTTAAATAACTCATTAGGAATAGCAATTCTCACGTTAAATGAGAATTGATGAGATATGTGAATGACACTTGTAGCTAGGCCTGTCCATCCGGCCCGGCCCGGCCTGGAAATCTGGGCCCGGGCCGGGCAAAACCGGGACCCGGACCCGGACCCGGGTACACCGGGCCGGGCCCAAAACATATTCTTTATTAATAATTGATAAATCAGTTACAAATTACAAGTACAAATTTATTTTGGAATTAATCGCATCACAATAGATAAGTAAATCCCAACTAGGTTGTCACCTACTCACCTATATCACTATCATTTGCAATTATTTTCAAAATAATTCTTTACAAATTGTAAGCAAAGATATAAAAACTACAATCTATTCTTTATATCTATCTGCTAGTCCCAATTCTTCAAATTTATCTTCAATTCCAGCCATCCGATCGATGCCTTGCGTTCGCTTCTCGTACCTCCACCAATCTTGTAGGCACATCACCGCTTGTACAGTATATGGATCCAAGCATGTCCTGTGATCGTCGATCAAACGACCTGCTGTGCTGAAGGCGGATTCCGAAGCTACCGTCGAAACCTGCACTGTTAGTAAGTCACGAACCATGGTGGAAAGTATAGGATATGAAACTGATCCATATACTTTCCACCATTGCAAAATATCTAAAGCATTTCCTTGACATCTAACTAAAGAAGCAGAAAAATATTCATCTATTTCAGAAACCTCCGATGATGACGATCCAAGTCCAGATCCACCAGTTAGCTCAGCTACCATTGCATACCTATCAAAACTTACACTTTTACCTCGGGCTCGGGATGAGCTCGAAGAAACCGAAGCTGCAGACTGTTGTGCAGCTACACCATGTCTAGCTGCATACTCATCATATAAAGTTTGAAAATAATTTCTAATAAGTAAATGATGAGTAGTAGCATTCAGGGTGGTTCCATCATCTAAGTCTATAACCTGTCCACCATACAATGACTGTAACAAACTTCGAAGGCCAATATCCTTCAAGCATGGATCAATAAGAACCCCCAAACCAAAAATATGAGGAATAGGCCTAAAATACTTATTAAATTTGCTCTCCATTTCAAAAACCATAGGTCCAAAAGTAGCATCCAAACGATATTTATCAAAAAAATTTTGAATATTTAAAATTTGTAAAGCAGCTAAAGTAATGGTTGGATAATAACAGCCAGATAATAACATGGTAGCATCATAAAAAACTTGTAACATTTCATTTAAATTACATATAACTGTCCATTCATCTTCAGTTATTCCATAAGTGCTACCAGAACTAGAACTAGAAGCATAATAGTTTATAAAATCAGTTATAATGTCTTTATATTCTATTGCTACACTTAACATTGCATATGTGGAATTCCACCTATGGTCAACATCTTTTGGAATTAGTCTAGGCTTTACATTTTTTCTTTTACAAAATTGTTTCCATCTTTTAAGTCTTTGTTCAGAAGCACTATGCATGTAAGCAACTGTTCTAACCTTTTCTATCATGGGTTTAATTTCAGTAAATGCACTTTGAACAATTAAATTTAAAATATGACAGATGCACCTAATATGAAAAAGATCACCATGACATGGCAATGATAAAGATGATCTGATAAAATCAACAGCTACATTGTTATTACTTGCATTATCTAGTGAAAGAGAAAATATTCTTTGTGAAATTTCTAATTTCATAAGTTCTTCAATTATTAAATTTGCAACATTAGCACCAGTATGTGACTCTTCTATTGCAATAAAAGAAACAACTCTTTTAAACATTTGCCAATTTTCATCAATCCAGTGTGCTGTGATACATAAATATCCAGTTTGTGCTCTAGATGTCCAAATATCAGAAGTTAAAGAAAATTTACAGTTTAAATTTTTAAAATAAGAAATTATTTTTTCTTGTTCTTGCTGATAATATTTTAAAATATCACGTTGACAGGTTTGACGAGAAAATTTTTTAAATGCAGGATAAAAACCATCTCTAAACATATCTTCAAATTCATCATCTTCTACTAATTTAAAAGGAAGGTTTTTAAGAATGATAAACCTGATTACGCATTTCCTGGCTCTGGCAGCGTCATAGTTCCAACTACCGAGACTACCAGAAGAGGAGGATTGAGAAATCATGGATTGTCGGATATCACCTTGAGGAGGCTGGCCTTTGTTGTGTTTATCTAAATGGCGTTTGAGGTGGTTGGTGCCGCTCTTATGATGAGCTTGAAAAATCTTGCCGCACAAAGCACACTTAGCCTTCTGGGTGAGGATCCTACCGTGTTCATCCTTGGTGACGTCGATCTTCTCGTAAAAATTCCACACATCGGATCTTGGCCGTTTAGGAGCTCTTGGTGCAGATTCGTCGCCACCGGATTCGGGATTAACTTCGGTAGGAGGACTGATAGTAGGAGGACTCATAGTAGGAGGACTCAATTCAGGATCGGGAGATATGTTTTGCTCTTCATAATCAGATCCGGAAGCCATTTGGGGATTGGATTAGAAAGTATAAATAAGAGAGTATAAGAGTATAAGAGAGAGTATAAGAGTATAAGAGAGAAGAGATGAGTTTTTGGTGTGAAGAAAACAAATGAAAACCCCCCTCTATTTATAGAACCAGCCCCCTAGGTAAATGACCAAAATAACCTCACAAAATAGCCGTT